GGGAGGGGGGGGGGGGGGCCGGCGTGGTGGGGGGGGGTGGGATAGGGGAAGAGTGACAGCAAGGCAAGTAAGGAGCGATAGTAATGAGGTTGAGGGGGGAAGGCTGGGTGAGGATGCAAAGCAGAGTATAAAACCACGCCGGTGGATCATTTCCCTGCCTAACAAATGCCCCCCTCTTCCTGCTACCTAGAGCACCCTGAGACCCTCCCCTGAGTGGTGAGAGACCCCAGTGGATAAGGATTATTTTTAAAAATCAAATTGATTGATTTAAAATGTTTAAAAATGTTTTATTTACCTTGCATTTTTTTTAAAAAAATTAAACCATGATGTATATTGTGATTTAAATCGATCTGATTTAAACTGGATCCACCCAGGACAGAGAACATGGGCATGGTTAAAGGGTGCAAGTTCACGACCACAAGAGATATCCATGGCTGCCAGCTTTAGAAGGAGATGAAGAAAATTCAGAGAAGGAGGAGAGAGGCTCCTCTGTGGCTACTGACGAGGACAGCAATATACCATTATCTGTCAAAGTATTAATATCTCTATTTCTTGGAGAAATAGTTAATATGCCTCTGGATACCGTTTGCAGAGGAACGCAGGAGGAGGGAGGCAGGGAGGTGCCTGCTGGCTTCCTGGGGGGGGCAACTGGTCAGCCAGTGGATGCACAGAATTCTCCTCCTGCCAAGGGCCCTTGGTCGCGAGGCAGCAAGCTCTTAATGTTTGCATGATGGTAGGGAAATCTCCCCTCCCCTGGGCAAACGGTTGGTAGTTTTGTTGCAGTAGAATGCAGAATGTTGTGGCTGAGCTACAGTGGGGTCTTGACTTGAGAACTTAATCCGTATTGGAAGGCGGTTCTCAAGTCAAAAAGTCTGTAAGTCAAGTCTCCATTGACCTACAGTGCATTGAAAACCGATTAATCCCGTAACAGGCCGTTTTTGTTCCATTTTGGTTTTTTTCTGGTCTGTAAGCCACATCTCAGTCTGCAAGTCAAACCTACCGGTAAATTTTGCAGCCAGAGAAGTCTGTAACTCAAAAAGTCTGTAAATCAAGCCATCTGTAAGTCAAGGGTCCACTGTATAAGGTGCTGTAACTGGGGTTCTGGAGTCACTTGAGGGCTCTAGGTGGATAAAGCATGTGAGGTATGGGCAGAGGTTTCATCATGGGGCAGTTTTAAGCAGTGCCGGAGAGCCAAACACTCTAGTGCTTAAGTTTTCCACAGGAAATTGACCATTTTGTAAAATAAACAACAAAACTGTAAATTGTTACTAAAATACCTTATTAATAATGAAGAGAAGCCATGATAGTTTTGTTGTAACTCTTCAGAAATGGATGTTTATCAGATGAATATCCATTGGAAGTTTATGTGAGAGGCCATGATGTGTAAACTGGAAGGGAGGGTTAAAAAACTCCAGATTACTAATAGTTTAAGCAAGTATAAAGTTGTAAATTGTCTTTTTAGCTGTGTAGGTCAAACAGAGACTAAAACAAAAGTGAACAATTGGTTTGACTGTCAGAAAATACGCTTTTCTTTTTTTGATCTTGGGAAATGCTTTGCAGTCCTTCGAGTTTGTAACCACTACAGTACACTGGTCTTTTTATTAAGATTCTGCCTCATGTACTGTTCCATGTTAAATTTAGAAGGCAAGGATGCAGACATGCTGGGAATCATAGTGAGGGAGACAAGGCTAAGAGAGTGATTGCTTGTAGGTCTCACGCAGAGCCTCATGGCTGAGTAGGAAGTTGAACCTGGTCTTTCCAAGTGTAATCAAACATTTTCTAACCATCTATGAGCTATTGGAACATTAATCCCTCTCCTCGGTAAATATGAGTCAAATAAACATTCTAATTCAATTTATATTGGGTTCAGGGCATAAAATAAGATTAAAGAGCCATCTACAGTTATGGCCAAAAATATTGGCACCCTTACAGTTCTGTCAGAAAATGCAACCCTCCTCTCAGAAAATTGTTGCCATTGCAAATGTTTTGATATTCATATGTTCATTTTTTTGGTTTTCGTTGGAACACCACAAAAAACAGAGAAGAAAAGTCAAATCTGATACAGCCACACAGAAACCCAAAAATGCACTGACCAAAATGATCGGCACCCTGTCTAAATGGTAAGAAATAATTGCTTTTCAAGCATGTGATGCTCCTTTAATTTGTATTTAGACACGTCTTGCAAGTAAGAGGTGTGGGCAATATAGTAATCACACTTGCAACTAGTTAAGATGGAGAAAAGTTGACTCAATCTTTGTGTTGTGTGTGACACCGAGCATGGAGAAAATAATGAAGTGTAAAGAGCTGTCTGTGGATTTGAGAAAAAAATTGTGGAAAAACATCGACAATCTCAAGGCTACAAGTCCATCTCCAGAGATTTAATGTTCCTGTGTCCACTGTGTGCAATATTATCAAGAGAACGCCCATGGCACTGTAGCTAACTTCCCTGGACATGGACAGAAGAGCAAAATTACTGAAAAATTACAATGAAGGGTTGTTTGAATGGTGGATACAGAACCCAGATTAACTTCCCAACAAATTCAAGCTGATCTGCAGACACAGGGTACGACAGTGCCAGCTTGCACTCTTGGTCGCCATCTGAATGAAAAGGGATGCTATGGAAGGAGACCCAGGAGGACTCTATTGCTGACACAAAGTCATAAAAAAGCAAGACTGGAGTATGCCAAAACTTATGTGACAAAACCACAATCCTTCTGGGAGAACGTATTGTGGACAGAGGAGACAAAAGTAGAGCTTTTTGGTCAAGGACATCATGGCACTGTTTACAGAAAAAGAAATGAGGCATTTAAAGAAAAGAACACAGTCCCTACAGTCAAACATGGTGGAGGTTCAAAGATGTTTTGGGGTTGCTTTGCAGCTTCTAGCGCTGGATGCCTTGGCTGTATGAACGGTATCATGAAATCTGATAATTGCCAAAGTATTTTGGGGTGCAACGTAGTGGCCAGTGTCAGAAAGCTGCATCTCCACCAGAGGTCATGGGTCTTCCAAGCAGGACAGTGACTGGAAACGCGCTTCAAAAATCACTCAGAAATTGTCACAAACAAAGTACTGGGGAGTTCTGAAATTGCCGGCAATGAGTCGAGATCTGAATCCCATAGAAAGCAGGACAATGACCGGAAACGCACTTAAAAAATCACTCAGAAATTGTTACAAAGTAGTGGAGAGTTCTGAAATTGCCAGCAATGAGTCGAGATCTGAATCCCATAGAACAGGGATCTCCAAACTTTTGAACCCCACAGACTGGCTGAAGAAGGTGGGGCACCCCCTCATGCTTGTGCAGGTGCGCTCGCGTGCATGCGCAAACGGTGCGGCGCTCGTGCAGGTGCTCATGCCACATGCACAGACAGCGGTGCGGCACGCGCTCTTGCGCATGCAAAGATGGCAGCGCGGTGGGTGCTCATGTGTAAAAGGGGGGAGCGTTTGCACGCACAGGGGGAGTGTGTGCGAGGGGGTGGGAGGTCTGTCTCCGTGGCCCGGTCTGGCTCAGGCCATGGACTGGCACCGGGCTGTGGACCAGGGGTTGGGGACCTCTGCCATAGAACACCTGTGGAGAGATCTCCAAACAGCAGTTGGGAGAAGGCATCCTTCAAATCTGAAGGCCCTGGAGCAGTTTGGTCCCAAATTCCAGTAGAGAGGTGTAAGAAACTCATTCATGGTTACAGGATTTCAGTTACTTTTTCCAAAGGGGGGTGCTACCAAATTTTAAGTTTAAAGAAGCAAGTCATTTTGGCCAGTGCATTTTTGGGTTTCTTTGTGGGATTGTATCAGATTTGATTTTTCTTTTCTGTTTTTTGTGGTGTTCCAATGCAAACGAAAGAAATGAACATATGAATACCAAAACATTTGCAACTGGAACAGTTTTCTAAGAGAAGGATTGCATTTTCTGATGGAATTGCAAGGGTGCCAATATTTTTGGCCATGACTGTAGCTCTCAGGAGATGCTATTTAATATCTATATAAGGCCGTTGGGGGAGATAATCAGGAGGTTTGAAGCTTCGTGTCACCAATACGTGGATGACACTCAGCTCTATATCTCCTTCCATCCTTCTGCCGTGGATGCCGTCCCGTCCCTTGAGCACTGCGGCTCGATACCTCCTTCCATCCTTCTGCCATGGATGCCGTCCCGTCCCTTGAGCACTGCCTGGAGGTGGTGCTGGGATGGTTGAGGGACAACAGACTGAGGCTGAACCGACAAGACGGAAATCCTGCGGGTGGGGTTCCTTAGTGTCTGTGGTCTGAGTGCTTCCCTATCTTTTGCCCCCCCCCCTTCCATGAAGGACGAGGTTTGTAGCTTGGGCTACGATTGTCAATGACATCTCAGATAACGTCTGTTGTGTCCAGTCCACTTATTTCCACCTAAAGCGGATGACCCAGCTATGTCCCTTCCCTTGACACTGGGTCCCTCACCACGCTGCTCCATGCGCTGGTAGTCTCGAGATTAGACTGCTGCAATGCCTTCTATGTGGGGCTCCCCTTGGGACTGCTATGGAGATTACAATGGGTCCAGAATGTGGCAGCCAGACTTGCCAAGTGGGGTTACAAAATACCAGCACATCTCCTTCACCCCTGGCTGCTTTACACTGGCTACCTGTTCGCTTCTGTTCCAGTTTCAAGGCGATGGTACTAAACTATAAGGCCTTAAACGGCTTGGGACCTCATTATCTGACCGAGCGCCTCCTTCAAGTTAGGTCTGCCCGCCCTACAAGATTGTCGCAGGCAGGGCGGCTGAGAGTTCTGACCCCAAGAGAGGCCCGGAAAACAACCACTAGAAGTTGGGCCTTCTCGGCGGTAGCCCCACAAAATAATGGAATTTTCTTCCGCCCAAAGTCCGCCTGGGCCCTTCAAAAAGCTACTCAAAACCTGGCTATTTACACAGGCCTTCCCTGAAGAAACAATTCCCTGATACAGTAGTGCCCGATAATATAACATCTATCATACTGCCATGCTCCATGTTTTTATATTTTTCTATGCTTTTAATTGCGTTTATTGTAATTTTATCCTCACTGCACTTTATGATTTTTGATTTTCGCCCCTATGTGTGGATGTTGTGATTTGCTATTTCACTACTTTGTTGTTTTATGTTACTTGTTAAACTGCCCAGTGTGGCCTTGGATGCCGGATGGGTGGTATATAAATCAAATAAATAAATAAATAAATTGGGGTGATGAAAGAAGTAGAATTTGAAAGAGTCATGGTTGAAGCTGGGAGTGGTGATCCATTGGAGGTGCTGGGATGTCATGAGGAAAACTAGATCTTGCTGTGGAGGCTTAGGGTGGCTCTAGGAGGTTGAAGGCATGAGTGGGAAGGATTAATGTTCCAAACTGAGATGATGGTCCGATAGAAGAGTTTGTGCTGAAGGAACAGCTGTGCTGCTGGGTGTGCTTGCAGGGGTTCTTGAGTCAATCAAAAGCAGAGTTTAGGGGAAAAAATTGCATTTCTTTTTGGGTCTAGAATTCCCAAAATACTCCCCCCCCCAGATTTTGTCCAGTGGGGCACCTTTTGGCATCATGTTTTTTTTAACTTCACCCAGCAACCCCACAGCATGACAAGGTGCCGCTTTCCCTCTTTATTTCGACATGCCAGCGCTCCTTATTATTAAAAGAAAAGAGGAAGATGAAGGACATGCCTTCTGTTCATCTAAGGTCACCCCCGATGTGGTTGGAATGTGGGGCCATGGATCACTTCTAGGTCTTGCCAGTAGCAAGTTGAAGTGTCGTACAATGTAGCCCACTCTAGAGCCCATGTTTTGCACATTTGGATCAGTATCGACAGGACTTAAACACAGTCCCTTGGAACCTTCAGAGAGACTTTCCTTTCGTATCTTTCATCATTCCCTTTGCCGTAGGTAACTGCCAACTTTAAAATACACAGAGTAGAAAAAATTGGCTTCCTTAGCAAATTCTCTTGGTTGTGGGGTCATACTGTCCTGAAATACCTGTGTGCCTGTACAGTGGGTGCGCATTAGGAAATGTGTAAAAATTCTTAGCAATTTGTTACAGATGCTGTCCACGGTCCTTTTAAGCTGTATGCGTGCAGAGCTCCATCACGGCCCACCGGCAGCCGGCGTTCCCACCATTGTAGTTCTGGTTTCGGCTGGAACCCTGCCCCCACATGTGCGCGTAGGGCGAGGCTCCCATGCAGCGGATCTGAAAATTAGAGGGAATGTTGGACGCTGTGGTTGTCTTTCCTTCAACCAGCGGATGACGTTCAAGAGTGTTGTCTGCTTCCTTTCAAACTGAAAGGGGGAAATACAGTAGCATTCTGTCCCCCACCCCACCCTTTCCCCTCAAAACAGCAACAAACTTGTGAATAGCTAAGACACGGTTGTTTACATTTATTATTATTATTTTTTTGAAAACGAAATTCTGTCATGAGTTCTTAAAGTTGTGTTGAGAATGCAGCCCTGCTACTAAATATTATTTAAGAGGCTAGGTCACTGGGTCTCAATTCAAGAGCAGTACCTTATGGGTTTGGAACAAGGACTTATTCTCCAGGGTTTGATGTCTAAACAGAGGTACCCACTGTTATTGGGCTCTTTTGGCACTCCTTCCTAACTATTTTGATTTTATTGTAGATTATAGCATTTGATGAGCTGAAGACTGACTACAAGAATCCCATAGACCAATGTAATACGCTTAACCCTGTAAGTCTACGTCCGAGAGATCCCTTTACATTCATTCCAATTGGTTTTTAATATTTTTATATATTTAATATTGACTTAGCATGCAACACTAAATCTAATATCTAATGGTATTAAGATTTCTTAATAGAATTTTCTATCTTCCTTGTTTCTTGAAGCTTGAAGTTCTGACTTATTTATCTGCTGGTGATCTTGTCAGCTGTCATACTAACATTCTTCCAATCTGCTTTTTACATTTTCGGCACAAAGACAGTTGAAAAGGTTAAAAAGATTAAAAGAGTCAAAATTGCATTAAAGGTGTGTACTGCTTTTTAGTTTAATGTCTTAATGCCACTCTCTTCTTTATTTTCCATTTTGTTTAGGAACATCTGTACGATTTTTGTTAATCTTTTTTGTTCTGTGTGGTTGTTCATCTGCCTGTATTGTTGTCTTTTCAGGGAACTGTATTAATTTCATGGATTTTGTGCATTGTGAGTTCACTTGCTTAATAAGAGACGGGGAAAACTGTTACATGTTTAAATTCTTCTGTAATTAAGTCAAGATTGCAAAGAGACCTTGGAGCCAAGAATCCAGTAGGCTTGGCTTTTGTGCTTAATTGGTGTGTGGGGGGGTAGCCAGGTCCTCTTCATCCAGAGTTTGAAAATCAAGCCCAGATGCTTAGCTCTGGTTAAAACGGGAACCCTGGTTAGCATTGAGCAGATTTAACTCTAATCTGTGCTTAAGGGAATTATGATAGGAGAAGAACGTGTGCACTCCCAAGGCTGGCTTCATGATTTGTACTATACGGCTTTTGGGATTACAGCACTACTTTTGCACCAGAACCTCACGAGAGACCCAAATCATCTTGTTTAAAAGGTGTTCAGTTTAAAATAGAGTTAGATAAATAGGATTCCACAGACGTCTCTTCTGAAGTCACCCTTAGGGCACTCGAACCCTGAATTGTTTGTGCGTCCTGTAAGTAAGACATTGTTGCTACAGCTTCCAACAGGTGTTCTTGGCCTGGTTGTTGCGGGCATGTGGGTGGCTGTACAGGTAGCAAGGAGAAAGGGGTACGGGCTTGTCTTATTTACAGCACCTGTCGGTAGGTATCAATTTTGGATAGAGGGGTATTCAAAGTGTTGAGCGTTACTCTGCCTTTTATCTGTAGCATTTCCCATCTGCTTTTGACTCTGCCTTTAACTGAGGGTGACTGAGAATTTTCCTTTTGGCTTGGGCTGGTGCATTCAGTTATGAGTTTAGTGAACAGTCCTGGTGATCCTGCAGTTGTTGAGGCCACCAGCTGGAACACGTGTCAGAGCTGAATGTGGCATGTTCACCTGCAAACGAGAGTGGAGTAGGTGAGACTGATGGCAGGTTGCTTCCGTAGAATGGAAAAAGATGAAGCAGAGAATGCAGTGAGCTTGTACAGGGGTTGCACATGGAACAGTTTACCCCACTCGATCATCTCTCATCTGATGTGGGAGGGTGAGAAAATGTTCACTGCATTTATGCATTCTCCTGTCACAGACTTCTAGTCAACAAGATACTACCATATGCATGTTGGACATGGCTATCAGTGCCTCTGAGCTGTACGTGTGTAATTTGTCTCGACTATACAGGTGAGAGTTGTTGGACTCTCATGTGACTGAATCGTGTATCTATAAATATGCCCGGAGGCAGGAAACTCTCTTTTCACATCAGATGCTGCTTAATAGGTGGAGGCTCAAACAAATCAAGAATCGACAGCAAAGCAACGGCCTTTCTTATTCTGTATGGCTGTTATTTTGTTGAATACACGCTGTTGTCTGTAATATGCACAGTACACTGGGTCCACAAGATTTTTTAGTGTAAAGCATGATGGTTAAGAAGTAGGTATGTCAGAAATGCAAATTGCAGTGATACTTCCTGTCTAGCAGAAAAATAAACATTCCACAGAAGTCGATTCTAGACATTGCATTTGAAATATTTTCTAGACTTATTTACTCCCTTTACACACATAAATTGTTTATGTGTATACACTGGGTCTAGTACAGTGTTGGTCCTCACTTTGCCTGAACTTTTCTGAAGAGGAGAGTGCTTTATGTAAAAAAAAAAATCTGTGTTAGAAATATATAGCAGTCTGGAACTTCAGACTGTAGTGCACAGTTTTACCAGACTAGTTTGGGACACCAGAAATACACTGGAAGAGGAAGAGAATAGCGTAAAATTCTACAATTCCTGAGTTTTGATTTGAAAGTAGATGCTTTTCAAGATTCTGTGTAGGTTTCTAGTCCTCATGATTGTGAAGGCAACCAAGAAAACCAGGTTTTAAATTGTTAGATTACAGGCAGACAGATAATATTTGAAATCTGCTTAATGAATTTTATAAAATAAATAATGTTTTTAAAGGATGAATTGTTAATACTTTTTAGAGAAATAACAGTGAGTTAAAATATAGCCTGACTTAACACAGTGAATGAAGTCCTGAAAATCTCCTGGTACTTCAGGATCACAAGAATTGTTTTCCAAAAGAAAAGGGCATACATCCTGTTTCCTTGTTTACTGGGTTTTTACTTTTATGTGTGTTGGACACTAAAAAGTGTGTAGCTCTGGCTTGTGCACATAGCATTTTTAACCCTTGAATGTTCTAACAAAATAACAGGTGGTTTTGCCTCTATGCAGTTGAAATCCCATCTGTAAAGTGTGGTTTAGAGGTAGTTTGCTTGAGGTAACCTGGAACGTTCCAGCTGTAAGTCCTTATACTGATGCAACATGGACACTGATGTAAGCTACCTAAAGTAAAATTTATTTCTCTTCAGGTAAAGGTTGGACAGTGGAAAATGCTTACAAGACCTCAATTTAAATGATAATGCTCTTGATTTTTTTAATTCCATACTCTGAATTCTACAAATGGTATTAAGGTTCTTGCAGTGACTAAACAATTTATATAAAATAGAACATACACACCAATAATTATGACTCAATACATTGAATTCCTTGCATTGGCTTATCTTGTCTAATGCTGGCTTTGCTTTTTGTATCTTGCTTTTTCTCATCTTCTCTAAACATCATATGCAAGTTAAATGCTAGGTCATTTTGCCTGAACTAAACGCTGTCTGTCTTTCTTTGCAGCTTGTACTTCCGGAGTACCTCATCCATGCGTTCTTCTGTGTTATGTTTCTGTGTGCAACAGAATGGCTTACACTGGGACTCAATATGCCTTTGTTGGCTTACCACATTTGGAGGTAATGCTGGGTTTGAATTGGTTTGTATGAATAAAGGTAAATTGATGTAATGTAGATGGTAAATGTTTAAATGCTTAAATGGTAAATGGTTAACTTAGAATGTAAGTATAAGTGAGTATAATATAGAATGTATAACTGTTGTTGTGTATTTTATACATATATTCTTACTATACTTTGGACCTCCTTTGGAAACTTAAGTATGTGGAGAAAATGGCACAAAGATGCTGCTGAAGTTGTAGAAATAAAGACAAGAAAGACTGAATAATTATGTCACCGGGGTTTTTTAGGATGTGTGTGCGTGAGTGAAAGTGTGTTGTGCAGTTTTGATGACTTGGGAGTCTCAGCTTTGACCGGAAGGAAGCAAGTTTTCATTTCTCATTGTTGACAGAGCAAGTCAGGAAATAAAGATATTACATACCATATGGGCCCCTCTTTTCCTTTTCTGGCTTCTGTTTGCAGAATAGTGTTCTTAAAAACCCTAACTTTGTAGTTCTGTCTCACATTGAGGGTACATTTTCTGAGTAAATGTAAGTTCATAGACACCTATGCTGGAACATGCCAAGAGTATGCTTAATCCAGTGCTCTGTCTGTAGCAGCAATGAGTTGCATACCCTTAGGAAGTTTCCAAGCAGAGCAAACTGAAAATAACCCATCTGTTGTGTGTCCACATTGTATAGTAATCAATGGTCTATTTAATGCATTTAGCTCATAGCTATTTCTGCTCTATTTCTTTAGCCCAAAGCAGCTTAGGTTTTAAAACATACAAACATTATTTATAATTCCTACATTTTAATCAGGAAAACAGTAACATCAGCAAATTAAGAATGGAGGGCTCCAAGGCTGATTGCTAGCTCTTAATTGTTGGCATTTGCTCTTGTTTGCATAGCCTTTTGTAGTCCTCTGTGTTGAATGTGTTGAATTAGTTTAATTAGTTTGATAGTCGGGCATGTACTTTGTTAAACTGATGCAAGTTTTGTGTGTGTTGATGTCTACATTATGATGTCAGAAATCTTTAAAAGTTTAAGAGTACAGGTATGTAAAAGTTTATGAGTACAGGTATGCAAATTTAATTGACATAGATTGACTTTTCTTCATTGCTGAATAGAGCTTTTTTACGTATCGACATAGCCCTTCTCAACTGAGCGAGTGTGTGTGATCCCAACAATTGGTTACATGTTTACATTATTTTATCTGAAAACAAACACTCCTTTTGCTGTACTTTAAACGTGCAATTTTGCTTTCTCAGGTATATGAGTAGACCTGTGATGAGCGGACCTGGTCTCTATGATCCAACAACCATCATGAATGCAGATATTTTAGCGTATTGCCAGAAAGAAGGATGGTGCAAACTAGCATTTTACCTTCTATCTTTTTTTTACTACCTATACGGGTGAGTTAATTATTTTATTTTTATTGTGAGATTTAAAAATTCTGTCTTTCCTACGACTCAAGGTGATGGACAATTTAAGCAAAAAGTCATAACATTTGCTGTTAGGTTCCAGCAATTAAAAACAATTAAACCCAGGCATCTCATGCCCATGTATTAAAGGTTGTAGAGAGTTTTCTCTGATGTATTTCCTTTTCAGCAGGTGGTGGTTGGAGTTCTAAAACTGAACCATCATAACTTTAAAAGCTTGTCCAGAAACTTCATGAAAAAAATATGTTGTTAAGCAATGACGTAGAGTAGGGTTTTCACAGTAAGTCTTAAACAGCTTGTGACAGTGGTTCCTAACATTTTTCAACTCGTGTTTCCTTTCCTCCCCAATCCGGGGCATGGGGCACCCTTTCCTTGTGCGTGGCTCATCCTTCTCCTTGAGTTTGGCTCCTGCCATAGCTGGGGTGTTACCAGCACCAGCAACCCTAGCCAGTTTGGTGCTTATTCTGAATTGGTATGTTAAGCAAAGAGAAACTTGGTTGTTGTGGGTTTTTCGGGCTCTTTGGCCGTGTTCTGAAGGTTGTTCTTCCTAACGTTTCGCCAGTCTCTGGCCAGCATCTTCAGAGGACAGCACTCTGTGCTCGGAAACAAGAGAAACTTGTTTCCGACACAGCATCTTTCCCCGGAATGTGACTTGTCCCATGCTTTTGCTGGCGGTAAGTATGTTCTTCCACGTAAAGAAAGGGCAGACGTGGTGGTGGTATCTCTGTTCCTGGCAATGAATAACCAGAGAATAGTGAACATATTGAGCATGCCTTTGTAGTAGTATTACACCTACATTTAGTATATATGTGTATGTTTTTTATGGCTTGTCTTTCTCTTTTCCACAGCATGATTTATGTTTTGGTGAGCTCTTAAAAGATGACACCTTAGCAGACTTGGTTCCAGTGAAGTGCATGCAGAAAAGCCACACTACAGTGGATTATTTTTGAAGATTCTGGTGTCAAGACTCAAATCTGTGGACTCGGATGATGACAGTTGCAATAGAGGAGTGGAAACGCCTTCCTCTCTCATTCCCCCATCCCATCCCCCAGATGTACCCATTCTTTAATACCCATGGAAAGACTTAAAAAATATACTGGGATGTTTAAAGTGATGAGTATTGCATATAATTAATGTAAAGCAATTACCTCTGGCTTTGGACAGTTTTGACCTTGCACTCCATAAGGAACAGCCATACCCTCAATTATAATTGTATTAATTGCTGTCCTTAGTATGATAGAGGATTTTTGTTTATTGGATTTTATAGTGCCTCAGTCGAGTTATGGACTCCCATCTAGCTGTCAGCTGTATGTACCAAGTGCTTCTGAAGGACTGAATGCTTTTCTGTATGTTATCTCTTAGGTAACCTCTGTGTGTCTTATAGATGAATACATGAGTACAACCACAGAATTATTGTAGTTCTATTTTTTACACTTTGGATATTCTGTCCCTCTAAAAATGTGCATGGCTCTGTTTTTCAGTGGTAACAGCAAGCAGTGAAGTGAATGTTCCTTGCTTTAATGTTTTAAGCTAAGAGTATATGGTTAGAAAAGTAGAGTTGTTAGCAGAGGACTGTAGTTGTAAAACAACCTTTTTTAAAAAAAGGAAAGGCATCTTGTGCAGTACAGTGCACAGGACTCCTGTACAATGTGGATCAACCATGTTAGTAAACATTATTCTGAGGGTTTCCTAGTAGAATGCATACACTTTGCGATAGGCACACATGCAGCAAAGATGGATGAATATCCAGCCTGTTCATTAGTGCAATACAATAACAATATCAGTTTTTCCCTACTTAGGGTTTGTCAGAGTGCTGTAGGAGATTAAAATGTTGGTTTTAGCCGCTTACTAGATACACACTTCCAATTTTTGAAGACATTACCTTGAAAAAGTGCATCTAGTTGCACAGCAACAGTGAGTGGAAAGTAGTCATTGAGCCTGATCAAGTACTTAGTTTCTTCTAGTTGTTGCAGTTTTTGCAAAGGTGATCTTTGCTCTGAAACTTGAAGGTGATTACCTGTTAACTAAGCAAGAACGTAAATTTCAAAACAGATTTGTTAGTCTTTCACCTAGCATGGCACTATGTCTTTGTACTCTTGCTTTCTAGATTTAGCACACTTTGGATTGTGGAGAAAGTAGACCACAATCCAAGGTCATTTAACTAAAAGAGTCCAACTGAATTCAATCTGCCCTTCCCTCTACTGAGCATCTTACAAATCTTTAAGGTCCAAGTCCACAGTGGTTGATGTTCCTTGGAATCAAGGTCTTCTAGAAGATGAGAGAGCTACCTTTCACCACAAATGGCCAGTAGAACCAGTCATCAATATTTGAAGAAAGATAGAGGTTATTTTCTTGGTCTACAGATGTATAAAAATGTCTCACCTCAGCCTGGTCTTGCCATTGTCATTTTCTTAAGAACGTATCAAACACTATTTTCTGATTGTATTGAAGAGTTTTGAAGCAAACTTTAAAGCTGGGTGAAATATATCAGAATTGTTTGATGCTATGAATGTACAGTGTGAATTCATGTTGTGTTGTGAGAGCTGTTCAGTTCGTTCTAGGCGGTTTCCTTCTTCAAAAACAGTCACTCCCTCCAAAGCCAGTGTCTGACAGGTCAGGTTACATTTGCGTGATGCTGCCTTTTCCAGCTGTAGACGCTCCTGCCGAAAAGTATTTGCATCTTCCTTTTGCTTGGAATAATGGTGTGCCATATCGATAGTATAGGTTCACACAAGAGAGATATCTCTGTTTCCATAACTTACTGCCTTTTGTAATGCAACTCAGTTTTTACATATGCACATACAGGATGTCTGCTGCATTAGTCCTCATATTTGGAGACATATAGCCTCCTGTGAACAAGTGACATTGTGGGTGAGCCTGGCTTTGCAGAATTTGTTAGCAAGCCAAGCGCTGGTGGAGCCATTTCTTGCTCATGTCTGTATACCACAAGTTTGCTTTTTGAAAAAAGCTGTAGATTTGTTCATCCATAGCAATAGATGAGAATTGATGCTTTTGAATTGTGGTGCTGGAGAAGATTCTTGAGAGTCCCCTAATCCGTTCTGAAGGAAATCAACCCTGAGTGCTCACTGGAAGGACAGAACCTGAAGCTCAGGCTCCAGTCCTTTGGCCATCTGATGAGAAGAGAAGACTCCCTGGAAAAGGTTCTGATGTTGGGAAAGTGTGAAGGCGAGAGGCGAAGGGGACGACAGAGGATGAGATGGCTGGACAGTGTCTGCGAAGCAACCAACGTGAATTTGACCCAACTCCGGGAGGCAGTGGAAGACAGGAGGGCCTGGCGTGCTCTGGTTCATGGGTTCATGAAGAGTCAGACACAACTGAATGACTAAACAAGCAATATATGAAGCTGCCTCATGCTGACTCGGAGCTTTGGCCTATCTAGTGAAGAACTGGCATACTGATTGGACTGGCAACAGCTTTCCATGGTTGAAGGCACAGTATCCACCCCCCGCCCTGCTTCAAAATGTCAGAGATTGAACGTTGTACCATCTGCATGTCTAGAATGTGATCAACATTGAGCAGCAGATTCTCCCTGAATAAATTTGCTATCACCATTTTACTATTTTTTTTTGTAAATTGCAAAATTTATCTTCAGAGTACTGTACCCACCTTTTCCCTCCACTAATTCATTTTCTAAGATCTGAATTATATTAAAGGGTCAGTAAGTGGCACATGTGAAGAAAGAGACAAAGAGGAAAGGTTTCTTTCGAAGGAAAATAGAGCTCATGCTTCAAGAGGGTCATAGGTAGAACCACTTTCATAGTAGCCCCATTGTCTTACAACTGTATATGTTCCTCTCGGAGTGAACTCCAAAGGGGAAATTTTGCAAACTTCTGTTTCTTGTTTTTACCTCCCTACTGCCTCAGTAGTTGGGAGATAAAAAGAGATGTCTTGGTCCCTGTATATATATAAAAAACCAATGTTTGTGACAAAATATGGATGTTCTCTTTCCAATCGACTGTGTACTTTGTTTTTTCACCTGTTTCATCCCTGCCAACCCCCTTACCTGTTTTAGGTGAAGAGGGGTGGGGTCGCTTTCACTTTTCAAAAGTGACAGTGAGAGAATCAAGTCATTTTTTTGAATGTTATTTATTAAAGAATATTGCCTCTATAGAATTTGGGCAATCTACCCTTGCAATGAGGTTGGACCAGATAATAACCATTTGCCATCAGATCAATTCTGAATTAAATCCTGGTGGCACGCTAGGACTTGACTGGGTGGCTCTTCAACTCCCTGAATTCTCCTGCCTGCCTGGATCGGGGCCCCTCATAATATTTTTCTGTTAGCCATGAAATCTTTGCGATGCTGTAGGCAAGATTTTGTGCTTTCGCTGAGAGAAGGCCTTCATGGTCTTTATGGATCGGAGATTGGCTTCATCTGCACATTTGATATTCAGAATATGTAACCACCTTGTGAGGTACTGAGAGGCTGTAGACTCCTTGTCTCTTTTCAAGAAAAGATTGCACAGTCATCTGTCGGGAGGGTCTGAGGTCTCCTGCCTTGGGCAAGGGGTTGGACTAGATGATCCCTAAAGACCCTTCTGACCCTATCACGATTCTATGATCCTTGTCTTTGTGAGAGGCAGGGCTTGGGGAAAATGCTATTTTTATGAACTCTCTCCCAGAATCCACTGGGCCAGCATTTCTAAGCTCAAGCCCAAGGAACACTGGGAGTGTTTATTGTTTGCTTTTAACATTATAAACCGCCTTGGGGGTTTAAATATTTTCAATACATAAATAATAATTTTTGTTTTCAAACATGTTTATCTGGACGCAACAGGTGGAATGGCGGGCCCGGCCCCTTTGCTTGGGGGGGGGCTTGTCGTTGCTAGGAGACCGCGCCCACCTCCGAGGGGCGCACGCGCACCGCCTCTGTTGAAGCCAAGCACATGCCTTTCCCCGCCAACGATTCCTAAGGGCGGCCGTGAGGGGGTGGGGAGGAGTTAGGAAGCTCGAGCAGACCGCGGTCGCGGATTGGTTTCCCGCTTGTCCCTTGCTTTAACGTGCGCTCTCTCTTAGCCTATCCGCCGCGGGGAAACAACGAAGCTCCCGCCCTACCCCAGGCTTCTCTCTCGCTCTCTGGTTTGAGGTCGCGGATTGGTCTCTCGCTTGTCCCCTGCCTTAACGTGCTCTCTCTCTTAGCCTATCGGCCGCGGGGAAACAACGAAGCTCTCGCCCTTCCCCAGGCTTCTCTCTCGCTCTCTGGTTTGAAAGGACGCTTCTTATTGGGTGGTGACGGGAGGCGGGAAAGAGGCAGACCGCGAGAGGGATGGGGGAGCATTCAATGTGGGCTGAGGGAATTTTCTGGGGCGTTTAATGCCAGGGGACTTTAACGGGGCTTTAAATCAGAGTAGAAATGCCTAGGGTTGCACTGAACGTGTTGGAAACGAAAAAAAGAGGGGAGATTTTTATCTGTATTTTAATGAGGAAATAGGTCTCTGTCTTTGAATTAAGTTGAGGGGGGAAAAACGATGACGCCGGGGACTCAGGAAAGCTTTTACTGCAGAGATATATTTTAAAGTATGTTATTTCTTAATGGCATTTGCAGTTTTATACCTAAAATGACAAAAACAAGGCTGTCGTGGTAGAGGAGGCAGGCAGCGTGATAGGTAAAAAAATAAAATAAAAATTTAAAATAAAAGAACAAATAATTGCTGTCCAGAGTAGACCTTTGGTCTAAATGGGCGGGGTATAAATCTAATAAAATAAATAAATTAAAACGAGAGAAAAACATGGTGGCCTCTTAAAGAACTAACTGCTATATTTTAATGTGAGCGAGAGAAAAACGTGGTGGCCTCTTAAAGAGCTAACTGCTATATTTTAATGTGAGTTTTCATGGCTGAGGAAGTGGACTTGTCCACCAAAGTTCACATTAAAATATAACAGTCTTTAAGGTGCCACCACATTTTTTATTTTTGTTTTAATTTGTTCTTTCGTTTTATTTATTTATTGCTTTTACCTAGAATAATAGGCCGGCGGCTCATTGAAAACTGAAGGAGTAATTAAAGAAATGACTGGAGACAGCAGGTGGATGGTCCAGAGACCACTTCCCCATTTGCATGATGGAAAAGCAAGGATCTTGCTGCACTTGAAAAGCTCACATATTTATCGGGATGAGCATCTGTTTGTGTCACAGTTATCCATCTGAAATGATAAAGCTTGGGTCTTACTTATTAAAATATGTTTGCCTTGCCTATCCTTTAAAAAAAGATCCATTATTAATGACAGTGTTCAAAGCTAAAAACAGTAAGCATGGAATTACTTAAAAGGATCATAAACGCATCACACTAAAAAAAAAAGGAAACAAAAGCAATAGTAAACAAAAACACGTTCAAAGCAATAAGGTACTGTACAACCATTCATTTAAAGACCTCTCAGGCAGCCAGCATTAAAGGTTTGCCTGAAGAGAACCTATTTATTTATTTATTTGATTTGATTTATACCCCGCCCATCTGGCCTAAAAGGCCACTCTAGGCGGCTTCCAGTGAAAACAATAAAATAATACAAAAAATTACATAAATCATAATTATCTTAATACAAAATCATAATACAAAAATCGAACTGAAATAAATAAAGAAGAAGAGAGTAATCTTAATTGATTAGATAGGTGGGATAGAAATCAAATAAATAAATAAAATAAATAAATAAAATCAAGTGTTAGCTGGAGGGAAGGCCTGAATATATAGCCATGTTTTTAGTTGCTTTTAAAACGTGCCCAAAGTGGGGGCTGCGCGAATCTCAGGAGGGAGATTATTCCAGAGGCGAGGAGCCACCGCCGAGAAGGCCCGGTTTCGTGTCTTTTCCTTCCGGGCCTCTCTCGGCGTCAGGCTCCTCAGCCTCACCTCCTGGCTCGTTGAGAGGTGTTGTGCGCTCCAGCACTGGAGCCATTCAAGAGAAAATTAAGACATCCACCTGGCAGATAGCCTTTGAATTGTATTTCTTCATCGAGCAAGAATTTGGGCTTGATGGCCTTAGAGCAGCGATGGTGAACCTTTTTGAACCTGAGTGCCCAAACTGCAACACAAGGCTTGATTCTCCAATCCCCTGTCAGGCTAGACACTGCACCAGCAGAGGGGAGTGCCAAAATTGGAGGATGGGTAAATATTTTCCTCCTGCCAACCTAGCCATTTGAAAGCATACAAATGCAAGTAGATAAATAGGTACCACCATGGTGGGAAGGTAACAGCATTCCGTGTCTAGTCACGCTGGCCACGTGACCACGGAAACTGTCTACAGACAAACGATGGCTCTATGGCTTGAAAACGGGGATGAGCACCGCACCCTAGAGTGGGACACGACTGGACTAAATGTCAAGGGGAACCTTTACCTTTACCTTAAGTATTTTTTGAGGGCAACTTATGGCTCATGTGCCCACGGAGAGGGCTCTGTGTGCCAGCTGTGGCATGTGTGCCATAGGTTCGCCATCACTGCCTTAGAGGATCCTTTCCACTCAACTATTCTATGATTCTATGAGAAGGACAGCAAAGA